ATAAACAAGTTTGGTATGACGTAACTGCACAAGCTTTATGATGTGTTTATATTTAGATTGATAAATTATTTAAAATATAAATATGTTTGTGATTTCAACTGTAAATAATGTTTTTAAATTAAATTCTTAAATAAATCATTTTTGTTTCTGTCGGCCAATACTGAAATAGTCCAACGGTTTTTCACAATTGAAATTATCAACAGTTTTGATGTTTCGTTCAGCGCAGTAGTACAAATGTAGCAGTAGTAATGGAGTCTTTAGATATACCCAAAGATGAAGCATGATTTTTTTTTCAAAAACTTATATAAAGTTTATTTATTTATCACAAAATTGATATCTCATAAAAGCTACATATACCGGATTCTGCCATATATTCACCCTGGGCTGTTAAATTACAGTATTTTAATCTTTCCTGACGCGTATCATGTTTATTACGACTAGCATGAATGCATAAGCTTCGTTTCGACAATGAGCTAATTTTTTTATTTTAAAGAAATCATACCGCTTTCTCATCAAAGCCAAATGATCTTACAACAACAACATTGGCGTTAGAGGTTTGCAACATTCCAAGCCGTAGGCTAATCACGAGTGTCTGCTTTCGTCAACCAAAGAGAAAACATCATGGCATTATACATTTATCGCGGACATATTATGAAAAAAAGTGAAACATCAGTGTGTTAAAATTGAATCAACAGCTGAAATAGTACTGAATACAAATATATCATTGTACACATATATTATGCTAATTTCGTTGATGCCACAGTGTTCTATTTCATGCAAACACTTTGCGTACACGATGTGATGATTCTGCTCATTCATTTTTTTTTAATTTCATTCAATTTTTTTTTTTTTTCAATAAGTGATTGAATAATAATTGTGAAACTTACACATATGAACTTGCTAGCATTAAATGTACCGCAATCCATATTTATCAAGCCATATTAAACTGGGAAGGTCTGGAAAAGTTTCTGGTTGGATGTTACAAGTATGACAGTATGCAGCGTCAAAATATGCATTTTTGATTTATCGTGTAGATCACATTATACAGTTATGTTATGTATAGGTTAGTAACCCTTATACTAACATGTAGTACCGTAAAATCTGTATTAGAAGCCACATCCCTAATAGAAGTCGCACACATTGTTTTGGAATAATTGAGAACCAAAAATTCATTATTTCTCATACATGCAGATGCTCTAATAGAAGCCGCATTCCCTCTCTTGCATTGTATCATTTTGATAGAAGCTACGGCTTCTAATACAGATTTTACAATATTTGCATACTTGCTGACAGAACTGGCCAACTACCGACTTTCCTCTTTTCATCAAAATTCACAAATTAGACCCATTTATAGTCAGTACAAAAATAACCAATTTTTTTTTAGTAAAAACTGAAAGTTGACTTAAATTTTGTCTGTTGGCTCAAAAATAGAGGAATGCTATTTAGATAACGAAAACGTCTATTATAGACGCTACTCAAGATGCAGAAAATCCTAATTTGTGAAAGCCATCAACAGTGTACTTACATGACTTGAGTAACGTAGTTACATACAAATGATAGTTAATGTCTTAAATAAAAACACAGAGTTCAGAACACATACAGTGTATTGAGGTCTTCAACCTCATATATAAAGAATAAAAATGTACATTTACCACAAGTGTTACATAATTAGTGATTCAGATACAAGTCATCAACTGACATTAACCTTTTCACCACCAGTTCCTTTTTTTCATCACAAATTCACAAAATAGTCCTGTTTATAGTCTGCACTTTCCTTCAGAAGATTGGGACAAAAATAGCCAAATTTTTTAGTAAAATCAAAATTAACTAAAATTTTGTCTGTTGGCTCCAAAATTAGGGTTAATCCCTAGAAATATTAAAGACTATAAGAAAAAATGCAGAAAAATTTGGGCGGGAAAGTCTGGTGGTGAAAAGGTAAAACTACACGACATGGAACTCAATCCTGACACATTATTAATTTTCATATTATGAAGGAATATTACAAAATTCAAAATAAACTAAGTGATTTATATTAAAAACAGGTCCTCATATAAATGTGCGATAATCAATGCTGTAAAGCCGAGTCGATAAACTAGATGTGGAAGATCAATCAAATCGCACACAAATACAGCACTATAATGTCTACGATGAAGTATTTTTCATGATGATTGTATGTGTGTTTGTGTAACCTCCCTAGCAAAACAATTCTACATGTATGTATGTAGTATGCAAAGACATGTTGAGGAGGCACAAAGTGTTGTAGGTAAACTAGGTATTGTTTTATTATCTAGATAAATTATCCTTATAAAGTACCCTGTTAATACCGATAATAAGTGAAAAGTAAAATTATGTTTATCTCCAAAATTCAGTCCATGTCCCCAATTTTGTTTGTTTCCACATAGTATAATAATTCAGAAATATATATTTCTTTCAGTATATAGCAATTGAAATATTAATCAATACAAAAAAAATATAACAAGTTTGCGTTGTTGGAATGCCATGAAGATAAATTGTGCAACGTGCTTAATTGAGGTTTTGTCTGTTATTTTTATTACAAATCTGAAATCTGTCATTATTGTTTTGATTTCAGTATTATATGTGAAAACAATTCTTGTCGTAATGAGTACATTTATGTGTTCTTCATCCTTTATGCGTATTACATCATAGTACACATTGTATTTGACCAATTATGTATGCCTTTGTCTAGCAATAATGGGGCTTGAATTTGAGAGGACATTTTTTAAGGCAAAATTTGATAAAACTACCTTGACTAATACTTTTTATGATAGTATTTTTAAAACTGTATTTTTGAAAGGACACCATGGAAAACTCCTTGAGAATCAGGGCAGTCAGGCAGTCTTTGATGCCTCTATGAAGTTCAAACACTGCAATAAGCAATCTATTTGCAAAATATAAAAACAAAATCCAAAAACTTACATGAAACTGTATCAAGGTAGAAGTATACTCATAATTGTTGAGAAAGTTGGTCATAAATCACATGACAATGTTCAATGGTTTATTGTGTAAAATCATGAAGTTATTGCTCAGGGAACTATGAAATAACATTCGTTTGTGTTACAGTGACGTATTTTGAGAAACTTGTCCTAATATTTTTTAAATAATTGCTATTTTTAGAACAATTCCATTAAACACAATTGCATTTTTTTTCACCAGCCTACAATTTAAGATATGGCATAATATTTCTGCCATAGGAACATGGTAAAAGCACTATAATTCTGCTAAAATGGCCACTATCCATTAAAATACAACCACCATAATCTCAAAAATTTAGCTGGTATCCCCCAACTTTTATAAGTCAATGAATTAATTCTGGGTATTTGAAATCATAAGTAGACTCAAAAATGTATCTGTAGATGTACTATAAAACATGTTGAAAAAGCGGCATGCAATTTTAGCGAATTGTGGTAAAATGACGTAATAGCGAAATGTTGATTTAGCAAATCTCTCTTGTCATTGTTGATTTCTTTGTTTGGCGGCCATTTTGAATTGATAATAAAGTCATTAGCGACATCTTGAATTAGCGAATCAGTTCTCTTGCTAAATTCGCGAAAAAGACATGCTCGCGAAAAAGACATGTTTTACAGTATATCCTATCTGATTAGAATCCAACGCAGGTATAATATATAAGGCTATGGGCAGTTTTTTTTCCCCATTCATATGGCTATCTTAAGAGGCTTCCAGCAGGTGATGCTTTAAATAA